AGCCGGTTGAGCTATAGGCGCCGAGCCCATAGCTGTGTATATTAATGCAATCTGTATGTGTAGAGAGTAGCATGGCGGTTTTTTAATTCGAATCTTTCTAGATTTTTCCTCATATTCTACATGAGTTTGCTGTTTAGAAATAGTCACATGTGAATGTGCTTTACTTTGAAAATAATCCTAAGTTACCTCAACTAAAATAATCCTAATTACCTAAGTAATCATTGATTAAATTATAAGTCAATGATTACCCTTATAAAGAAAATTCTTAGGAAATTATTTAGGAAAATAATCCTAAATTCCCTCAACTAAAATAATCCTAATTACCTAACTAATCATTGACTAAATTATAAGTCACTGATTACCCTTATAAAGGAAATTCTTCCTTTATAAAAATATCTGTAATTAAGTTCTTTTAATAAAAGAACTAAATATTATTTGCTTTATAAAATTATTTAAAATTTTTCTGGAGTGTGCTATTATATAAACTGAAAGATAAATTTTATGTGTTTTATTTCAATGGGAAATGGCGAAAAAGAAATAATACTGGATTAATGAACTTTGGAAGAAAAATATGCAATTTTACATAACTTTTGTAGCTATGATAGCAGTCTGATGTTTAGCCGTTGTGGTTTGGGATGTGATTGATGTGTACATTTTGTGGACTGTTCTAGTGTGAATGAATTAAATGTTTTTGAAGTCTTTAATTCCTGTAGTTATTCTTGGTTATAGCCCCTTCTTTCTGAAAATAAGTATACCATATGACATATGAATTATATGATATAGAAAGGCAATTTTCTGTTACACTCACATGGAAGTTTCATTTTTAATCAGTGAAGATATCTATGGTAAACATACTTGTTCTACTTACAGTTATTACTTGTCAACTGTGATGTCTTTATATTTTATACACATTGCCTGTGACCCTTCTTCTTTGACATACAAGATTTTATTTATATCACTTCTGACCTAATAAAATTGTACCTTTAACCTTATGAACTTGACATCTCAGATAACTTACTCTTGATCTTTGACACATTTTGTTTTAGGCCTGTTCAACATAATAGGTAGCTGCCGAGTAGGAAAGCTTTATTGTTTTGTGTTTTTATTGTGATTTGACTGGGGGATTTTTTTAGTGTTTCTTGAGATTCACAAAAAGGATGATGTTTGAAGTATTTTTGACTTTGTCTTCATGCTTCATCTTAGAATTCAAGGGATAAAAGAATGTGAGTGATAAAGTTCATAAATGAGTACTAGTTTTAAATGCATTCTAAAATTTAAATGCATTGCTAGAGAAATAACAAAGTATTAATATTTGTTTTAATAGTTGTTTTCTTTGTGGTTCTGTTTTCACCCTGTCTAAAGAAGTTGATAGTGAAACTTTGTGAAAGTTCCATGAAATACATTTAATCCTATATGGAGAATGACGTTAAAAAATTGTGTTATTGTTCACTTTTGAATCCATGAATTTCTGTTTGTGAGAATTGTTGACTTGAAAAGCATGTAATTACAAAAGCTCTGTTTGTTACCTTGTGTACTTAAATATGGAGAAAATCGTAGTTAATTTTACTAATTCCTGAAAGTTATGAAAAGGATCTTTATGAAGGATCTTAAATTAACTATAATTCATTAGGTATTTACAACCAAGTGTAATTTTGTATATAGCAAATTGGTATTTTTCTATGAAAAAAAAATACTACCTAGATTACTGAAGGGATAAAGGGAAAGTTTGAATAAACAGAAGTATAAAAATACCACTGTATTCAATGAAATATAAACTGCCCTCTTTGGCTAGGGTGGACATAGCTTTGAGGTGGCAGAAGTGGCAAGATATTTCTCAGAATTATTGACAGTGTAGAAAACAATAGATAATTCCTGATGGATTCATTTATTTCCTTACTTTCTTAACCTTTGTAGAAGCTGAAGTATTCTCTTTTTTCTAATCATATTAGGAAACACCTTGTTTGTCTTGCAACAGAAAATGAAGTCAAATGAGAAGTCATTTAGAATAAATCCTCAGGGTTTTTTTTTTTTTTTTTCTGATACCACAATAGGGTAAGTTTAAGTCATTTTGAGAAAGGCATCTTACACTTTTGGGATGTAGCTTCCATTGACTTCATTTTAATAGTGTGGGAAAATTTTATCTGTATGTTTTCAGTATGTAGTGTGCATACATATATAGCTGATTATTAATTTATATATTTCATCTAACATTTTAATTCCTTGGGTAAACTTACACAGTAATGAGTGTGTGCAGAGATTATGTAGCTCTGTATCTAGGGCTGATTTCGTTCTTTTCATTTGTTCAAGGAAAAATTTTTAACTTTATGAAACCAGTGTTTTATAAACCTTAC